CTCAGTCTGGTGGAGGCCGTAGTGGTGACATCTTTGCTTTTTAAAAGAGGCCTTTTGCAGCAGATTTGCCCAATGCAATACATCATTTGATTTCTTGACTGCTGCTTTCATGGACATAGTGTTGATTCAAGTAGAATGAAATTGCTGAATGATCCAAGTGAAATAAAATTGTTGATCAAAATAGAATAAAATCAATTTCTTCTCCATTTATCACGATGTTGTTTATTGGTCCATTTGTGACAAATTTAATTTTCTTCAAGTTCACTGTTCACTGAAGGCTGTAGTCTTTGACCTTCATGATTTTTGGCAAACAATCTGCGATATGCAGATGATACAACCTTGCTCAAGGACTCCAATTACACATATTTTAGAACTTTTGATATTGCCCTACAGTTCACTGAAACTTATCCTTTTTTCCTGTTTTTCAGATTGAATATTTTCTATTGTTCTCTCTCCTCTAACATCTTCATTTGGTTATTAAATCTGCCCCGTCATTGTTTTCAGATGCTGTATTTTGCAATTCTAGAATTTGTGTTTTCTTTTTATCACTTCTCTGATGATAGTTCTTATCATTTCATTCATTGTGCATACATTTTTCTTTTACTTCATTGAGAATAGTTACAAAAGCAACCTTTAAAAGCTTGTCTGCTAGTTACATAATCTGAGTCATCACAGTCTACATCACTTGACAGTAAGATACAGTAATCATTAATAGTAATGTGGCACTGATGTAAGAATAGACAAACAGACCAATAGAAAAAAAAATTAAGACAGATTACTTAAAAGAAAGTTATGCGAAAACTGTTTCTCCAAATGGAGAAAAATGATACTAACTCCCCAACCAAAAGCACATGCAAATGTGAACTGCACATAGATTAACAACCAAACTGTGGAAGGAAAAACCATAAAGTAGAAATAAAAGGAGAATATTTTTGAACTTAGGAGTTCAAAAATAGAGGAGTGGGGATGAACTTGTAAATAAAACCCCTAAAGCAGAGATCACATGGCAAAAACTGATAAATTTAATTACATCAAATTCAAATTAAAGATTTAAGTTTGACAAAGGAGATCCTGGACAAAATTAGAAGTTAGAAAACATATATATATATATATATATATTTTTTTACCTTTAGAACCAACAATATATCTAGAATATACATGGAACTCCTGAAAATTATGGCTTCAAATAAACATTTAAATAAAGTCTATGTTACATGATTTGAAACTCCAGGAGGGCGGGGTGTTGTTTTTAAGTTTTAAAATATACAAGAGGTTCTTTTGTGGTGATTTAACTTAAATACTAAGTATAGTTTCCCATTTCTCCCTTTATCCATGCAACCCTGATTTTCCATTCACTTCCTGGCCACTCCTTCTTGTTCTTTGTACTCTTGTCCTCCTTTGCTTACTCCTCCTTAATCTGAATGTTACCTAGCACTCAGTTCTTCATACCCTCTTTTCTTTTTAAAGATTTTTTTTTAAAAAATAGTGTGGTATTAAGAGAAATTAAGGGTTTTTTGCCTGTCCTCAAGTAATATACCACCCAAAGTAAAAAACAGAAATCACAAAATGTGGTGCAATGAATTACTTAATATGGCCCTTCTAGCCATTCATGGTCTTGTGACTCCCACAAAACGACTGGGTGGCAGTATGCAAATAAAGTGCTGTGGCCTACCAAGGACACTGGACAGCTTGCTAACAATGCAAATAAAGTACATGGAACCCTTGTGGGGGTGGGACCATACAAATAAGGTATATAGAACCCTAATGAGGGGATTGGTCAGTTATGCCCCATGCTAGGCTCAAAATGAGCCATCAGAGGCAGGAAGAGGGGAGCTCACTACCATTAAGAAGATCCAGGAGTGAAGCACATCCTTTGGACCCAGGATCCCTGTGCTGAGAACCTCCTAGACCTAGGAGACAAACAGCTTAAATTCTGGAGATGGTGCAAAGCGGCTCAGAAAAATGGCAGCAGCAAAACCAGGAGACTGGTGCAAAACAGTGCAGTGGGCTTCCTGGCCCATGGAGTGAGGTGGCTACAGTGGCTGTAATGAGCCACAGAGTGACAGACCTGAGCGCTTTCATGCAGGAGGCTTGCTGGCAGAGGAGGGTGTATTTGGGCACTTGGGGGAGCTAGGCTCACTGACCCACAGAGCAAGAGACCTGAGTATCTTCTGGCCCAAGGCTTAATAGCAAAATGGGACTGCCTCTGGGTACTTATTGGTGGAGCTAAAAAGCTGTAACACTTGTCTGAGCAGGGTAGGGACAAAGGGGCCAAGGGACTGAGAGAAAGGCCTGCCTGTGGGCATGGCCCAGAAACTGTCCTGACTAAAGAACGGTATCCTGAGTCATTCCTGATCCTGAATTGTAACCTGTTACTTCCCTAATAAACCCCGTAACTGTGAGTACAGTCTGATTTCTGTGTGGCCACTGCTAAGAATTATTGAACCTAGAAGAGAAGTAGAAAGTGCTGTTGATCGTGATTCTCTCTCCTCCCTCTTGTGAAGCTAGACAAGGTCTGATGCTGCCACATCATTTTTATACAAAGTAACATCACAGTATTTCAGAGAAAAAAGTCATTCTGTGAAACACCTTGATCAATTATATAAACTGTGAAACATAAGTCACAATTTTCTTTCTTCAGCGAGCGTGTAAAACTGGAAAAGAAATGTATTTAGATAGAAAAAAAAAAACAAAAAACAAACTATCAGTGCCATCACTTGAAATGATCAATCAACTATTTTATCATAACATTCCTCCTATTTATCCTAAATATTGCTATGCCTCTGTATCTCATAACTTCCAGGAAAACATTTCATTCTTCACTTGGCACAATACATCCTTACTGACCTATTTAACCTCCTAGTCCCATCTCTAATAGCCTCCCACATGAACTCTCTATTCTAACCATAAAAAATAAAATAAAAAAACAAACAAATGAAAAGCTGTTCAGTTTACTGAATGTGACATCCTGCCCTAATGTGTTTTATGACTCTATTCTCACTGCCTGGGATAATCCCCACTCATCTCTATTTGGCTAATTCATGCAGTTTAAGTGCCTTCTTTCTCAGCGGATTTTGCAGATTATTTTTAATTATTGTCTAATAGTTTAAACTATTCTCCTACTGGCTATGCTGCTTCCAATTTTTTGTTGTTAATGCTAACATGTCCATAGCTTTTCTTTTCCATTGAGTATTTGCTAAAGATAAAATCTCAGGACAATTGGTGAACCCAAATTCCACATTAAGGGCTTTTCATAACAGATAATTTACAGTTTGTTGTATCGTGGTGGTTTGTTTGTTGCTATGATTCTGGAAGCTATGCCACTGGTATTTCAAATACCAGCAGGGTCAACCACGGTGGACAGGTTTCAGTGGAGCTTCTAGACAAACAGAGATAAGGAAGAAAGGCCTGACGATCTACTTGTAACAATTATCCAATGAAAACCTATGGATCACAACAGAACACTGTCCAACTTGCTTGCTCTGGACACATCATCAGGAGGGATCAATGCTAGAGGAGGGCATTATGTTTGGTGAAGTACAGGGCCAATGAGTGTGTGGGTCAGTTTGGCACAAGAGCTTCAATGATGGACTCCAACACCCTGGTGACTGTGAGGATGATGCAGAATCGGGCAATGTTTTATTCTGTTGAATATAAGGTTGCTATGATTTCGAGTCAACTCGATGGCAGGTAACAATAACAATAATAATTTGCAAAATAAATCTGAATTTAAAATTACCACGATGGCCTGACAGAGACTGGAGAAACCCCAAGAGTATGGCCCCTGGACACCCTTGTAGCTCAGTGGTGAAGCCCCTCCTGAAGTTCGCTGTTCAGCTGGGGATTGGACAGCCTCATAAAACAAAACAGGACTAATGAGACACAGCAGTCTAGGGACAAGGACTAGAAGGCAGGAGGGGACAGGAAAGCTGGTGATACGGAACCCAAGGTTAAGAAGGGGCAGTGTTAACATGTCATGGGGTTGTTAACCATTGTCATACGGCAATATGTGTACTAACTTGTTTAACTAGAAACTATTTTGTTCCGTAAACCTTCATCTAAAGTACAACAGCAACAACAACAAAAGAATTATCTATGTGAGATCAAATTGACAACAGCAACTCAGAAGGTTTGATGGGAAGCCTAGGGGACAGTGAGTGGAAGATAATGCTGATAGAATAATTTGGAAAAGGATAGTGAGAATAGCAGCACAACTGGAAGAACGTAACTGATGTCACTGAACTGTACCTGTAGAAATTTTTGAAATGGTGTGTATCTTTGGCTATGTATATTTTCACAAAAAAAAAAAAAGAAAAGGTCCTCCAAGGTTGAGAACAGAGAGCATTGACATGTCGTGGGGTTGTTAACCAATGTCATAAAACAATATGTGTACTGACTGTTTAATGAGAAACTATTTGTTCTGTAAACCTTCACTTAAAGTACAATAAAAAAAATTACGACAATTTTAAAAGTTTTACATCAAATCAATAAAAGTATATACGGCCATAAATATGCAAGTAATGTCAATGAATGAAAGTATGTGTATTATGTAAGCAGAACAAAAAAAACTACATAAAGGTATATATTAATAAAACAACAAACTCTTTGCCATTGAGTTGATTCTGATTCATGGCGACCCATGTATTTCAGAGTAGAACTGTGCTCCATAAGGTTTTCAATGGTTGTGATCTTTCAGAAATGGATAGCCAGGCCTTCCTTCCAAGGTACCTCTGGATGAACTCAAACTGCCACCCTTTTGGTTAGCAGCTGAGTTTATCAATAATTTAGATCTACTGAAATAAGACTCAAAAGAGGATATAGCATGAAGTAAATAATAAGTTTTTCAAATATAGGACTGAAATTAGTTTTGATGCAATGTAACTTTAGGTTTAAAAATCACCGTAACAAGAAGACATATTTCCTAACCTGCGAACTAAATATAAGTACATGTTAGTAGGCAACTATGATAATAAAATAAGCATGCTTAAGGATATGCTCACCAGGACTTCCTCCATCAGACTGCTTAGGGTTCCTGTATCCTAAACTGGGACGATTGGCAAAGAGTAAGGTTGTTTGCCAGCCTACTACGTCTGGCCACTTGACGGTCCTCTGTATCCTACTAAAACGCAGATGATATTTTACCTAGCAGTAGCAAAAGGAAATAAACTATTTTTAAAACCAAACTAAAAAGGAAATATTAGAAATAAAGGAAAGTTAATGTTCACTTGAGAAACCATATGATTTGAAGGATGGGACTCACCTGATGTGATTCTGAATGCCAGGAAATGACAAAGACTTTGAAGCACAACATACATGCTCCAATTATATCTACTTTTGAAGTCTACCCAAAATTTAGACAATTCACAAAAAACAAGATATACATATGGTCCATAAATCTATGAAACAATTTTCAACATCACTCACAATAAACACATATTAAAACTACACAAATACCTCTATCACCTATCAGACCAGTTTATTTTTGTAAAACAAAACACATTTTACGATACTTCCTAAGTCATATATCTATCAATCTATCCCTCAATACCTTTAATTTTTGGATGTATTTCAAAATAAGTTGCAGGCATCAGTACATTTGCACCAAATACTTCATTTAGTGTTAACTAGAATTCAGTATCTTTCACACTTATTTTTAGGTAAAATTTACATACAAGAAAACCCACAAATTGTAAGTAAACATTTGCTGAGTTTTGATAAACGTAAATACTTATTGTAACCTACGCCCACGCATCTGCCAGTGTATTGTACTGTGGGGGCTTCCGTGATGCTCTGATGCTGGAAGCTATGCCACCGGTATTCAAATACCAGCAGGGTCACCCACAGTGGACAAGTTTCAACTGAGCTTCCAGACTAAGAAAGACTAGGAAGAAGGACCTGGTGGTTACTTCTGAAAAAAACCAGCCAGTAAAAACCTAATGAATAGCAGCAGAACACTCATACAGTGCTAGAATGAAGGCACTCAAAAGATGACTGAGGAAGAGTTGCCTCCTCAAAGTAGAGTTGACCTTAATGATGTGGATGGAGTCAAGCTTTCAGGATCTTCATTTGCTGATGAGGCAAGACTTAAAATGAGAAGAAACAGCCGCAAACATCCATTAATAATTAGACCATAGAATGTACAAAGTATGAACCTAGGAAAATTGGAAATTGTCAGAAATGAAATGGAACACATAAACATCTATATCCTAGGAATTACTGAGCTGAAATGAACTGGTATTGGCCATTCTGACTCGGACAATCATATGGTCTACTATACTGGGAATGGCAAATTGAAGAGGAAAGGCATTGCATTCATCGTCAAAAAAAGAATTTCAAAATCTATCCTGAAGTACAACACTGTCAGTGATAGAATAATATCCATACGCCTACAAAGAAGATCAGTTAGTATGACTATTATTCAAATTTACGCACCAAGTACCAAGACAAAAGATGAAGAAATTAAGAGTTTTAGCAACTTCTGCAGTCTGAAATTGATCAAAAATTGCAGTCAAGATGCATTGATAATTACTGGTGATTGGAATGTGAAAGTTAGAAACAAAGAAGAAGGACTGGTAGCTGGAAAACATGGCCTTGCAAAGGATATGAACACGCACTTCGCCAAAGAAGATATTCAGGTGGCTAACAGACACATGAA